CAGAACTTGCACCATAAATCATGTGGTGTCGAGCTCGATACGATGAGAGCCTTTTTGATTTTCGAGTGAGTCCTCAGGTATTAAACATGGCGAACATAGCAAAATAAAAGGCCCATGCTCGAGCAACACACTTCAAAAATTAACATAACAAAAGCCCATGCTCGGGCAAATTACATCACCAAGTTTTCAAAAAAAGAAAAAACACTCCTAATCCAAATCCTCAGGAGACGGGTTAGTGGCTTCAACGTCAACCTCGACCTCTTTGTCCTCCGCCTCGTTCCCAGCATCCTCGGAATCAGATAGCTCGAGTGTGTTTGCAATGTCGGGCACAGACTTCAAGTCATCGGGATGCACATTGGGGAGATTTTCTCGAAGATACGCCCTTGCCTCCTTAAAAGCATGAAGATAGGCACCCAAGGTGTATTCTCCTTTTAGCTTATTACAGTCCTCAGACTTTTTGAAGTCCTCCCAGGCTCGTGCCTTCTCCTCGACCATCTTTGCCTCATATTCCTTGCATACCCTTTCGAGCTCCAGCTTCACCTCTTCAGCCTCATCCCTCGTTGACCCCAGTTCGTCCCTGGCACGACGCGCTTCAGCCTTGGCCTCTTCAAGTTGCTTCACCATAGCCTCGCGCTCGGCCTTGAGGTCTTCCACCCTCTTATCTCTCAGCTCAACGGCCTGACGAGGCCTGCCACCTTGTGAGACTCGTCCATCCCTTGTAAGGATAGGCTTCGAGCCACACTGAGAGTCTGCGCACCGACCATTGAACATTAATCCTCGAGAAAGATGCTTCAGTCGAAATGAAAAATATGCATAGACAGGTCGAGCATTTACCTTTAAAGTTAAGAATTCGAGGGCCTTCATCCCCTCGTCGAAACCAACGTCGCCTCGATACTTAGCCACTATTCTCGGGACTAAGTGGCATCTTTCAAAATCCTCGATGACCGAAGCCACCAATGGGATACAGTCATCCTTGAGGTCTACGACCTCGGGTGTTCGCCTTGGAGGAAGTTCCCTGGGCGACGATGATGGCGGTCGAACAGGCCTAGGGCTCTGGGTGTTTGGCCGAGCCTGAGAACTCTCTTCCGGTCCTCGAGGTATGTTATCAGGCTTCGAGATTCTAGCCCTCTTTTACCTTTGGCCGAGGGCGCGACCTGTGGTTGAAGCTCATTAGCCTTGGCCCGAACAAACTTTCTAAGGGCTGAGGGATTGAAAGACATTCTTGCAATAAAAATACAAGGCATCAGTTCGACCACATCACCAAGGAACAAGCACGAGGAGGGAATATAGGTAAAAGGCCCTACCCTCAACACCTCTCACATCAGGAAGATCGAGGACTTCTTCCTCGAGGATGTCTTTCATACTTGGCACCAAAGGTTCGCGGTCCTCGCGCGTCTGCCTATGACGTTCTAAAGACTCGAAATAAGCTTGCCCCTCACAAAATTTGGCAACATCGGGGATCCCCCACCTCGACCAGAAAGGGAGATCGAGGTCTTAAGTAACTACGTAAAACCACTTATCCTTCCATCCCTTTAAAGAGGTAGGCATGCTCGGGGTCTTAAACCCCCCTCGAGTGGACAAGTAGGCAAAGCAAGTGAACTGGGGTAGGTGCTTGAGATCGAACACCATTCGATAAAGGTCGACGTAGGGTTCGATACCCAAGTGCCTACAGGCTATGAAAAAGTACATGGGCATCCTCCAGCCATTGGACACTAGCTGCCCTGGGCACATAGAATGCTCGACCAAAAGACTTATAAAAAATGGGTGCAAGGGCCATCTAAACCCGGCCTTTAAAGAATCCCTAAAGATAACAAACTCCCCCTCTCGAGCACCTATCATGCTATC